AGTTAAAAATCTAGTTGCCATCTTTGGCCCCCTGAAGCCTTTTGAGCACCGACTGGAAATCCTTCTGGAATTTCTTCTTCGGTCTTGCCCCTCCCATGGCTTCTGTATTTATGTTTGTACGTCCTTGGGTTGTTATCTGGGTTTGTTGCATCTTTAATTCTTGTTCCTTTCGTTTAGTTGCCGCTCGTGTTTGTCTTTGTTCTTGGGCTTCTTCTGTTTTTTCAAATAGCTCCAAGGCTTGCACAGCCCCCGAAAGTTGCACTAATTCTTCTTGGGTACTCCAAGCCCCTCCCTGGGCTTGTGCTTGCAAACCTTCCTTTCTAGCGTCTCCTGCTTCTTTTCTTTTTCTGGCTCCTGGAGATGGTGGGTATCCATTGTATACATTGACATAAAAATCTCTTGCCTTCCAAATTGTATTGAGACGATATCGTTCTCCTGAATAATTCACCACTAATCCGGCTGGAACCTCCCATCTATACTGTATCTGACGATTTCTCAATTCATCCACTAAAAATGCATAGTCTTTTTTAGCTCTCAACATTTTAGGGGGAATTTCCTTGAATACTGCAACCTCCTGTCCTGCCACTTGTAGTTTGTTTTTGTAAGAAGCCTGTAAGATTCCATTTCTTATCTTCCTGGTAACAAAGTAGATCACAATATCTCTTGGTAGTTGTCTTTGCCTGGCAATCCATGAGTTAACATGATAAATTTTATCAATTTGCCAGTCACACTCTGCTTTGGACTCTCCAGTTAACTGTGCAAGAGTTTCTGCAAAAATCTCTTTCAAATTTTCCTGATTATTTTCTTTCAAACCTCTTACCCTCAAAGCAAATTCCATCGCCCTGTATTGTGTCATTGTAAGTTCTGCCTCTGTCTTGTCGATCTTGATTTGAGCTTCATCCACTTTAACCTCCAAATTCACATTAGATTGATTAATTTCTTCAACCTTTTCCTCCAACGATGTACAATGGACCCACCAAACCCTGAAATGCTTCCACAATGTCTTCTCTTATTTCTTGATTATGGGTTTGGATTAGGTCCTTAATTGCTGCCATTTCCTCAGAGACATCTTTAAATGCAGATGTGATTTTTTCTTGCAATTCAGAGGCTTGTACCTTTAAGGCACCTTGGAGAGCCTCCAGTGTCAATACTTGTGTTTGCATTTGTGCTTGTGCTTGTATGGCCTTCCACTGGGGCCAACAAAGACTGCAATTTAGGGATTTGAGCAGGAGAACTTCCAGTACTTTTTGGAATGCCTGTTTTTGTCTGCTTTGAAGCCATTCCCAAATTTTCAACAACCAACCCAGTAAGTCAGTAAATATTTTAATCTTGATTTTTAACCAATAATATGGTTTATTAGTAAGTCAATACTTTATTCTTTTAGTCCCAGAGTCTTAATTCTTTAAAACAATTCTTTAAAACAATGTCCATTAGATTTAAACGGCGCTGACAGCTTTAACGAGTTAACAAGCACTTTCTTCTTTAACTTTCGCTTTCCACGCCCTTAACAAGCCGGTGCCATTTTCTTTCAACTTTTTCCCATTCTCATCAGACCCAGAAAGAAACAATATTCAGCTGGAGTTAAAGTTTGGTACTTGCAGTTATAATGTCTCCTGTCTTTGCTCTGCCTGCTTTTAATCCAAATGTTGTTAAGAAGTTGCTTGCAGGGATGGTCGCGGCGTCTTGTTCTGCATAAAGCAGACATGTCCCGGATTCAGAGCTCTACCAGGTTCCTGGGGAGCTCTCAGCCTTCGAGCTCCAGGATTTTTCCTGGAGCTCTTGGGGAGCTCTACCCGCACCCAGCTGCTCTCTTTCCCCTCTTTTCCCGAGGGGAAAGTTTCCAAGCTGCTAGACAGCTGATTTTCGCTGTTCTAGCGGCTTAACGAAATCATGGGGCTAGTGCTCCCAAAGGAGCGACCGCTGGCGCCTGCGGAGCCACCGAAAGTCCGTGAAAGACCTTTCTTTTAACAACTGAGTTAAGTCCATTTATATTTATTGAAATTAATTTTCTTTCTTCCATATTCATACTTTATATGTAGGTTTTATTGTTCTAGTTGAACTTACTTCACGTTGTTCCTTGTATTCCACAATCCCTCCTACTGCACCTTCTGCTGCTTCAATCATTGCCAACTCCTCTTCTCTAAATTCTACTGGCACTACTGTTGTTTGAGTTTCCGCTTCCATTTCGACTTCCTTCTCTTTAAGAAATTTTTCATAGAAAGCTTGCGCTTTGTCAATTGTATCCAGTCTATATCTTTGAAGTTGCCACATTAAAATTAACCCTTCTGGTACCAACCATCTGTAATTTACACCTTTTTGAAGTAATATTTTAGTCAGAAATTGATATTCTCTTCTCATCTATCTCACTTTTCTTGGTATTTGTTTCAAAACCACCACTTCTTTCTCCTTATATTTCAGTTTTTCTCTAACCACCTGGAGAATTTGTGCTTTAATTGATTTCTTGGTAAATCTTATATGTACTTCTCGTGGCAGTTTATTACGCATTGCATATCTAGTATACACTCGATATATCTCATCCATGCCATCCATCATCTTCTCCTTAGTGATTTCTAATGCTTCAGCCAGCATTTCTGTCATGATATCTGCCAGATTCTCTCCCTTTTCTTCTTCCACATTTTGAAATCTAAGATAAAATTCTGATTTGTCTATTTCCCATCCAATTAGTTCACTCCTATCTCGTTCAATTTCTCCCAGTCTATTATCTATATCTTTGATTTTTTCCTTCTTTTGCTCGTCCTTTTTCTCTAGCTTTTGCGGTCTTTCTTCATATTTCAGCATTGTTTGTTGAATGTTGACCACTTTTTCATCTGTCTTGAGTAGTTGTTGTTCCATCCTTTGGACTGTTTGAAGAATCAATTGTATCGACATATCTTTCTCTTTCTCTTTCTCTTGCTGAAGCATCGCCTGAATTGTTCGTTGACCTCCAGATGGTGATGAGGAGGGCATAGTTGAAGAAGATCCCACTGTCGCGACTTCTGCTTATTCTATCTGGTGGTCAGCAAAGACCAAAACCAAGCCAAAAAAGTGACAAATAAGAAAAAATAAGAAGAAAGAGGAAAAAAAGATAAAACAACTCTTCAGTTTCTTCAAAACCCTAATCCATTAACGAGCAAAAAGTAAAAAAGAAAAAAGGGATGAAAAGAAAAGAAAAGTCAACCAAAGCTAAAATAAAGAAAAAATCGAAATCAAAAATCGACAGTCAATCTTCAGGCTCTTAAATGCCTTAATCCAACTCAGTTATATAGAAATAACAAAAAAAAAGGAAAATCCATCAAACATATTTATGCACGGAAAGCATGTGGAGAGTTATCACTTAGCCAAGCCAAAAGAAAAAAACTGCCAAAAGAAGTTCCAATTTCTTCGGTAATATTTCTAGACTCCTACTTCAAATGAATCCACGAGGAACACCTGGGTAAATAATACAGATAGTTCCAGCTTGTTCAGATGTTCTCACAACACTCTTTATCAACCAAGAAGTTCAAAGTCCTTAAATTATGGCAACAATATATCTCTCAATTTGTTACTTATATAAACATAAGCAACAAAGTTTCTTTTCCAGCAGATGGCAGCACTACACACTCCCCTGTCTTTCCTACAATTTATAATCCAAAGCTTCTTTGTCAGAAAAATATTAAAATATAAGGTTTAAACAATCATCAGAAAAAAGAGGAAAGGCTTCAATCTCAAAAAAATTATTTTAAAAAGAAAAGGCACAAAGGATTACCAATATTAGCCTTTTAATTTATCATTCTCTTTCAATAAAAAAACTAAACTTTAAAGTCCATCAAATTAAATGATTTGGGTAAAAAAAAAAAAAAAACAATTCCCAGTTAAATTCGCCACTTAATTTCTTTTAGTCTCCAATTCTCTTGTCACTTCTCATCAGGTTGTTCTTTGTATTGATTTAAATTAAAGCTCTCTCACCACATTGGCTCACTGTCCTTCTTTCTCTTCCGGAGCTGTCCCAACTTCAGCAGCCGCAATGGCTGCCACCCCGCTGCGAGAAAAAGGGCTTCTCCTGGATCAACCAGGGACTTTGCGGTGTCCCTGGGATCGTCAGGATGTGCCCTCCACTACCACAGTCAAAACTAGACTGGGGGGTCCAAAAAGGACTGTCCAGCAGTGGGGCTTTTGGCGGCAATCCTGGAGCACCAGAATCTCCCATCCGTTTCATCGCGACGCCAAGCTCCTCCTCCCCCAAGTATCCAAATTTTGATCACCTGACCATGAGGATGCTGCAACAGTCTTAAGTGTGAAAAACGATCATGTCGCTTTTTTCAGTGCCATTGTAACTTCGCATGGTCACTAAACAAATGGTCGTAAGTCCAGGGCTCCCCATACCATGTTCAGTTGGGCTTGTATAAGTCAATCAGTCTTTTCCTAGGGCAGTAATGGCTAACCTTTTTGCTGTCAGGTGCCAAAAGCGGGGAGTGTGGGGGGGAGTCATGCACACATGTGCCCACACCCATAATGCAAGGCCCCCCACTCTCCCCCCGCGCATGCGCGTGCAACTCCCCCATGCTCCACCACCATCTGCACATACGCGTGCGACCTCCCGTGGCCTGTTTTGGGTCTAGCAGGCCTCCCTGAAGCCTTCTGGGACCAAAAATGGGCCACGGGGGCGTGCCGCACCCCTTCCCCTGCAGCCCATTTTGGTACGGGGGGGCTGCCGCTCCCCCTGCGCTCTCCCCGTCCCCACGCATGTGTATGCGACCCCCTGCACATGCGTGCATGTCTCCTGCATGCATCCCGCCCCCATGCCAGAGACCCAAAAATCAGCTGGCTGGCAGGAGGTGCGCACACGTGCACAGTGAAGCTGAGCTGGGCGACAGCTTGGCACACAGAGCCACAGATTCGCCATCACGGTCCTAGGGCGTTTCTTAAAGATTTCTTAAAGATTCAAGTAACCTACAACTGCAGAATTATTACTTTATGAATAATACTAAGATGTTGGGGTGTTGTTGTTTTTTTAATTTCAGGTGCCTGTTCAATCCTGGTTTGACGACATGACAGACACAGAATTGTTAGACCTTATTCCTTTCTTCGAAGGGTTAAGCAGAGAAGAGGAAGTCTACACCATGCTCCATAAACTGTGTAACAGGTAGTTAGTCCCCTGAACACCTGTCCTGTTGCATCACCCGAAGCATCTCTCAGAGACTGCTCTGGATAAACCTTCAAAATGCTTCTGACCTTCCCTCTGCCATAAAAGACAATCGCGACCCAGGGCTTCTAAATCATGAGATTGACTAGTGCTCCGTGAGGTGAACGGATTACTTCGCAAAACAAAAATCATGAAAAAGAAGCTATTTTGAATGGGACGCTTAAAGCATTTCGTAAAACAGGCGCGTTTTACAAATTCTGCTTTTTTTTTTTCCCCTTGAAACATGCCAAAAAAAAAAAAAGAAAGAAAAAAATATGAACGCTTGGTGTTAACTTCAGTCAAGTCATTCCCCCTCCCCCCCCCCCCCCCCGCTCCCAGCTCATCCTGCTATGCAGAGTGTTTTTTCCCACCCTGCCCTGCTTCATTAGAGCAGTTGACCTGACTCTGAACTTAATTTCTTCCAGGATGAAGTGCCTTTTTGAATGTTGTTTTAAGATTTACAACAAAAAAAAAAAATCACTTTTGTACAAGAGGTATTTCCAGAATCTTTCAGTCTTGTATTGTTTAAATGCTTGAAGAAGAAAAAGAGACAAAGAGTTGGGAGACTTTTTTTTTTTTTTATAGAGCAACTTAAAACTACGGAATCAAAGAAGAAATTTGGGGAAGGTTGTTACTTTCCTTAAAATATCAATGGCTATATTTTGTACCGCATTTGAAGCCCCATACCAATAGGTAGAAGTAAATGGGGTAATATCTAAGTTGGAGATGCAGCTCCCTTACTAATTTGGATGATGTTTTGCACTTAGATTAGGGCATATCTGCATTTTTTTTTTAAATGGAATATAGCAAAATGGAATGGGAAGTGCCCTCCCTTGCAAGTCCACATTCCCTTCAAGAAGAGTCTTTGATTGTGTTTGCTAACGCACAACTGCCAGGTGTTTCTGAGGTCAGGGATAAAATAGAGAGAAAGCATAGAAGACAATGAGTGTATTTGTTCAGCGTGAAATATTTATAGTGAGGTATTGCAAACGATGCTCTAAAGTCCCAGGGAAAGCGAAGTTTCTTCCCATAACCCTCCTTCCTTTCCATGGCCCTGGTGGGAGACATTTCCCTTTATATTTTTATTTTTATTGTGCCCTGTATTTTTGTTTTTCCTCTTAATTGCTGCTAACGAAGGCTCACCAAATGGAACTGAACTTTGGCTGTTATACTGTTCTTTGCCGCTGTGCCTCTGCTACTGGAATTTCAAAAGCCCTTTACATCCTTAGTTTCTGGCCAACGCAGTCACGTCTTAATCAATTAATATATATATATATTTAATTCGGGGTTGTCACCGGTGTTTCCACAATGGAATTTTTCTTCCTTTCATGCTTCTTCCATTTTTGTTAAAAAAAAAAAGAAAAATAGGGATGTTAGTTCTGTACTTTATTTCTATGATGGAACATTTGATTCTTCTTTTTCTTTCTAAACTGATCTACAGTTGTTGTGTGGCGATCCTTAGAATTAACAGCGTTTAGGGAAAATTGGGTTGTTGGAGTGAAATTTTTTTAGTATTTTTATTTTATTTCTTAGTATAGAACAAGGGTTGATCTTTTTCTAAAAACCACAACCCTGTTAAGTAAATTGGTCTGAGAGAAAGCACAATTGCACCATTCTGGGTATTCTTTTTTTTATTTTTTATTTTTTTTTTTTGGTCAAGGTCATCAAATCATTCTCTATTGTTTAGATGTATGCATTTTTTTTTTCATCCTTGGAGGGAAACATTGTGTAAATATCAAGAATGTTGGTCTTCTCTGTGTTTGTTTGTTTCTCTCTCTCTCTCTCTCTTTTGGACCTCTATAAGAGGGTGCATTTCAGTCGTATATTTCCATCTTCCTTGTAAATTCATTTTTATTCTTTTTTACACCAACCGAAGCCCTTTGAAATGCTCAAATTAGCCATAGTGGACAAGAACTGTCTTTAAAACATTTGGTGCTTATCCCAGTAAAAAAAACACCTCTCAGATGCTGAAATTACAGGTTCTTGCTCCTTGCCTTTGCCTAGTTTTAGTTGAATTTGTTACAAAGGTTACAAAAAACAAACAAACAAAAAAGAATCAGCTAAGAAATAGATGGGCCCCTCTTTTTGGAGTGAGCATTCAGGCCAACATCCATAGGCAGAAAACAGGTGATCGGAGGCACAGTAAAACGAAAAAGCCAAAAACCAGATATTTGACATCATCGAAGGGATTTTTAATCAGTGTTTGGAGAGCTCTACCAGTATTGTATAAGCAAGACAGTCCTATATGAACCCCAAAGGATTGCCTCTGCATATATCTTCATTTGATTTACTGAAGGTTCTTCTTTTAATTGTACGTCGTGTCTGCTAAGAATCTGATATTTTCAGAATAATAACATCTGGAGTGTTGGTGATTTCCTTTGCTTTTTTCTTTCTTTCCTTCTTTCTTTTGTTTGTTTGAAGTTTTATTTGAGCTTAATTTTAGTGAGATCTTTAATTTGGGTATTTGAGTTCAAAATAGTGGAGCATTTATACTGCCAAAGCGTGTTCTCTAAGCAGTATTTTTTTTCTACTGTATTTCTGGCTTTCTGAGCCTCAGATACAGTCTGCAGGGAAAAAGAATTCAGGTTGTAACAGGGGCAAATACGATGGCAATGGTTGGTATTAAGTTGAAGAAAAATTGCAGTGTTTTTTCTGGCTCATCTTGAATATTTTGAACTTCCCAACAACCAGTTTCCATCATATCTTGCCCTTACTAATAATGTGTGTCTTTGACAGTTTTATGCGATCAGTTTGTGCATAACACAGGCCGTTTTGTTTGACTTCGCTTTTTTATAAAATCAGTGGGTTTTTTTTTCCTCTCTATCCAGTTGCCTTAAATGTCTGTGAATGAATGTTGATTATGAAAAATGTCTTGTAACATGATGGGAATCCCACATCCAACAGACAACAGAACTTCCAGTGGGGGTCCCAATTCTAATAAATTGTGGGATGTGGAAATTGATCAGTTTTTGGAAAATCATAGTTATAACAATCTGGTGCCTTTTCCTTACTTGGGCACAATTTCATTCTGAAGCTCCTCATATTCATATAGTCCTGAGAATACAGGATGTTATTCATGGAAGGCCAAAGAAAACCTGTTTTAAAATGTAGGCACTACTTCTGTTTGCGCTGGATTTTCTGAGACAATACAATTTTGGGGAATTGTTTATGAAGCAACTTACAGCCATATTCAAGGTGCTTAGAAATTCCTCAGAACTATTGTCCTGGTTTTGAGACTGATCTGTGATCAGTTACACATAAGAGGAATAAAACCAGCTTTTGTCCACTTCAGTGATCCATTAACCTGTCCAATCAGTTACTTTCAAACTCTTTTACACAAGGCAGGTAGGGGCGGAGTCAAAAAAAGTTGATAATGCAAGTAAAAAGGGGCAGGGCTTCAGTCCTACGGTTGCGGCCATCTTTAATCCCTTATCCCTGATCCAGAACCCTGAACTTTAACTTCTGCTTTCCTCTTGAGAAGTTCTGTTGTCAGTTGTATGTTGGGAGATTTTTTTGGGGGGGGGGGAATTTAGAAATGGGCATGATGCAGCACCAGCACTTGAAGGGTTCCTAGAATATGAAATTCCCTTCCTTCCTTCCTTCCTTCCTTCCTTCCTTCCTTCCTTCCTTCCTTCCTTCCTCTCACACCCGTCCTTTCCTTTTCCACTCCTCCCTTCCCCTTCCCTCTTTTATTCCTCTCTCCCTCCATTTTCCTTCTTCTCACACTCTTCCTTTCCTTTCCCACTCCTCCCTTCCTCTTCCCTCCTTTATTCCTCCCTCCCTTTTCCTCTCTCACACCCTTCCCTTTCCCCCTTTTCTTCCCTTCCTTTCCCTTCCCTTCAGTTTTCTTTGCACTCATAAACACCACGGAGTCATTGGGTATCATGGGAGAATTTTATCCACTCAGTCTTTCCTCTTGCTTGATAAAGTTACTCAGTGAGTAACTTACACAGGGCAGAATGAGAGGCCTGGCACACGTCTTCTAAACACTGACAGCTCTGCAGAGTTGTTACATCCATTATGTATTTCATTGTACTTAGTCTAATTCACTTAACCTTCTAATTTTAATCTCAAATTGGAAAGCAGAATGCCCTGGATACCAATAAATAAATATCCACAATAGTTAAACCGACAAATACTGGCTGTGTCCAGCAATATATTTTACCAAAACTGGAAAGGGATGGGAGGGAAACAGTCAAGAAAATAAGGTGCACAGTTGTTCCTTCTTGCTCAACTTTTTGTACTGTAACTTAAAAAAAAAAAAACAGCAAGGAAAGTTTTTAATTGACAAATCGCTCCACCTCTAGAGTTGTTTAATTTGTGGTGTGTGCAGTCTCTATTCCTGGCATCATTGATGATGAAAATGTGGAAATTCCAATCTCAAAAGACCTTGGAAATATCAGTGTAAAAAAAAAAAAAGCTGTAGTCTATATATATTTTCCAAAATGAAAAAAATTGCTCTATAGATCTGTTTTTTAAAATAATAATAAAACACCAAACCGCACAGTCCTATTGTAAATCGAATGTTTTTGCCTCTGATTTACATGTGCTGCAACAGTTACTTTGGGAAGGCAAGTTGGGATTGAAAAATGGCTTGAAATCCTATCAGCTACCTATGCAAAATAAATAAAAGCTGACTATTTTTTTTTCTATTTTATTTCTGGGAACTATGAAAAGATCACAAGCAATGGGTGAACTGTTTGTTAATCTAATAAAGGAACTGTTTACACACTTCTCTGCGTTGAACAATGCCATAGTTCTTGAAAAAAACAGATTTAACCATGGGAGGATTTAGGGAGGGAAGCAAAGAAATTAATAACCAGGTTTAATGGGGGTGGGGTATTGAGGCTTTTTACTGTGAAAAATTAAAATACGTTTTTTAAAAAAAGGGAATCTGGACAGTTATGTATGGAGGCATTGAGAGGAATGTTCTGCAGTTTTGAAAAAATCACTTTCCTTTTTAAAAGGACAAAACAGTTTCCCACTGTTTAAATCAAAGTTTGTCCAAACTGGGCCACTTCCCGATGTGTGAACTTCAACTCCCAGAATTCTCTGCAAAGGCATGTTAACTGAAGAATTCTGGGAGATAAAATCTGCCCACATCCAGAAAGTGCTTAGGCTATTCCACATGTTTCCTGAACACCCAGAAATAGACCAACGAAACAAAACAAAAAAATCAGGCTACTGATTTTTTAGACATAACCACAATTTTAACAGTTATTGCTTAAAACCATAAGGCAATTTTGCCCAAAATGCTCCTTATTTAAGCAAAGCAGTGTCTTAGCAAAAGCTAAGTTGGAGCACCCTTTGAATGAGTGCTTAGATTAATTCAGGATGGGCTAAATAACATTCTAAAGAAAGGTCAGCTTTCTAAAAGGATTGTGAATAAAAACATCAAAAACAAAAAACACAGTATATTCCTAATTTGCATGGAATTTTTCATTCAAATATGATTTCATCCTGTAAAGGGATCCTCCAGAATTTGCATCCACCAGAGAAGGAATGTTGCAATGAAACAAACCTGTTTATATCGGAGGGGAAAATCCAGAAAACTATACCCCTATGTTATATTCAGAGGTGGTATTCAGCCGGTTCAAGCAAACCGGTAGCTGCGACTGCTGGTGGGCCAGCCCACGCCCCGGCATAATACCATCCTATTTAGCTACATTTTCGAGGCCAGGCACATGCGTGGAAGGCACACCCGCAAGCAAAGCACATGCGCAGAAGACACGTCCGTGAAGCGAGCGTGCACGCACGTGAACAGGTGGTAAGAATATGTGAAACCGACCGCTGGTTATATTAGACCAAGGGTGCTCAAACCCGTCAACTTTTAAGACTTGTGGACTTCAGCTCCCAGGATTCCTCAGCCAGCAGGGAGGAATTCTGGGAGTTGAAGTTCACAAGTCTTAAAAGTTGCCAAGTCTGGAGACCTCTGTGTTAGAGGGTGGGGAATGGTTTGTTGGAGAAAGAGTCTTGATGAGATCACTAAATTCTCATTAATGTACCAATTTTTCCGGCCACAAGATGGCAGAGTCGAGCTAGTAATTTTTGAACAGGAAATGCAACATCAGAAGGTTGAAGATAAAAACCCACTGGATTAGCAGCCATCTATGCTTTTTTCCAGCCATGGCTAAACTTGTATGACGACATCCCTGTATATATGTCGCCACTCTCTAGTCTACAGTTTTCTAGTGAAGTATTTGCCTTTAACTTACTCTTTCTGCAACCTTTGTTCTTGAAAGCACTAAGAACAGAAGAAAACCAGACATATGCCCACCATCAAATGTCACGTCAACGGCCTGTGGGAGAACCCCAAAGTCCTCTGCACAAAACCCAGATGGTCCCACAGAACCCGGCGGCACCATTGTCGCCAACGCCAGCAGCACCACCATCGCAAATCCCGCGAGGACCGGAGGGAACACCAGAAGCAGCGTCCAAAGATGGTCTGGGCAGAGGATGGCAGCAACTACTTTTAACCTCTGACCCCAATGGAAGCACAAGCTTTGACCCCTCCCCCTTCCCGTATCTGCAGCCCCTTCCTCCCCCATCTTCCTCCCGACCATCCAGGATGTGATGGGGTTTTCATGTGTGGTGGGAATGGCTGATCGCCTTTTCTTCCCCTCTTGTATCTCTTCCCAGGGCCCACCGCAGGATGGTAGAGTTGCATGCAGCGCATACGCACTAGGCTAGTGTTAGCAAACTTTTTCGGAACCGAATGCCGAAACGGGAGTGAATGCACACACGTGAGGGAACACCAAAAATTGGAAGAGCAGCTTCCCAGTGCGCACATGTGGGAGCACCTGAAACCAGAAGAGCAGTTCCCCGGCACGCTTGTGCGTCCTAGAAAGCTGAGCTTCCGGTTTCCAGTGTGTGAATGTGCATGCATGCCAGTCACCTGGTCTTCCAGTTTCTGGTGCTTCTGCGCACACGAAAATCAGCTGACCAGTGTGCATGTGCATGCCAGAACCCAAAGGAGCAACAGACAATGGCTGGTGTGCCCGGAGAGATGGCTCTGTGTGCCATTTCCAGCACACGTGGCATAGGTTCACCATCACTGCACTAGGCATTCGAGCAGATATGCTGAAAACCTGCCACTTAAAAAAAATAAATTGATTCCAGTCAAAAAAAAAAAAGAAGAAAACCAGGAAGTAGCCAAGCTCAAGCTTGTTCTGGCACATAATTTCAAATGTTAACAGAAATGTATTAATGCCTATTTTAACATACAATGCTTCAAGAGGCAGCCTGGTGTTGGACTTATTCCTGTTTTTTGCATGGAATTCGCTTTATTAGTGAAAATAAAAGGGGGCATATAAAATTAATATTAAAATTAAAAATTATTTTTATTGCAATATATTAAAACATTTGGGTGGTTTCCTCTGGAAATATTATCACATACCACATTTAGCCTTGGATTGACCTTAGGTGCTTAGTAGAATCAGGTAAAAGAATTAGGTAGCACTTAGAATCATAGGACTGGAAGCAGAGGTGGGTTTCAGCAGGTTCTGACCAGTTCTGGAGAACCGGTAGCGGAAATTTTGAGTAGTTTGAAGAACCGGTAGTAAAAATTCTGACTGGCCCCACCCCCATCTATTCTCTGCCTCCCGAGTCCCAGTTGATCGGGAGGAAATGGGGATTTTGCAGTAACCTTCACCTGCCTTGTACCTCCAAATTCACTTTGATTTAAATTCTATTTTATAGGTAGTCCTTGACTTATAACTATCTGATTAGTGACCGTTCAAAGTTACGTCACTTGAAAAAGTGACATGACTGTTTTTCACATTTTAACAACCGTTGCAAAATCCCCATGGCCACGTGACCAAAATTCAGGCAACTGACCCATATTTATGACGGTTGCAACATCCCAGGGTCGTGAAATCCCCTTTTGTGACCTTCTGACAAGCAAAGTCAATGGGGAAGCCAGATTCGCTTAGCAATTAGTGTTACTAATTTAACGACTGCAGTGATTCACTTAACAACAACAACAAAAGTTGTAAAATGGGACAAAACTCAGCAACTGTCTTGCTTGCTTAATTAATTTTGGGCTCAATTGTTGTCATGCCAAAGTCTACCTGTAATCCCCTTCACTTTTAAGTCTCAAGACAGCACCCTCTATGTCAGACAACATTTATTTGGGGGTAAATGTTGTCTGGGGCTACATGGGGTTCCCCTTGAAGAGCACTCGGAGGCTCCAACTGGTCCAGAATGCGGCCGCGCGGGTGGTTATGGGTGCAACCCGTTGCGCCCACGTGACACCCCTCCTGCGCGAGCTGCACTGGCTCCCAGTGGTCTTCCGGGTGCGATTCAAGGTGTTGGTTACCACCTTTAAAGCGCTCCATGGCATAGGACCCGGGTACCTTCGGGACCGACTTCTGCCACCAATAGCCTCCCACCGACCAGTCCGCTCCCACAGAGAGGGTCTCCTCCGGGTGCCATCAGCCAAGTTATGTCGGCTGGCGACACCCAGGGGGAGGGCCTTCTCTGTGGGAGCTCCAGCCCTGTGGAATGAACTGCCCCCCGAAATACGAAAGATTTCCGACCTCCGGGTGTTTCGCTGCGCTCTGAAGACCCTGTTGTTCCGCCAGGCAGGGTTACTAACATAACGTTTTAAATTGGGGTATTTTAAATTTCTGGGATTTTAATTGGAGCCTAATTATTTAATGATTTTAAATTTTAAATTGTTGTCGTGTTTTTTGTGTTTTTAAATAGGCTGTACACCGCCCTGAGTCCTTCGGGAGAAGGGCGGTATAGAAATAAAATTATTATTATTATTATTATTATTATTATTATTATTATTATTATTATTATTATTATTTATTTATTTATTTATTTATTTATTTATTTATTTATTTGTTCTATTTATATGCCACCCTTATCCGGAGACTCAGGGCGGCTTACAATGCGTTAAGCAATAGCCTTCATACTTTTGTTTATACCTGCTCAGTAGGGATTTTTTGGCCCCCCCTGAGCAGTATTCTATTTTATACAAAGTCAGCTTATTGCCCCCACAAACCGGGTCCTCATTTTACCTACCTCGGAAGGATGGAAGGCTGAGTCAACCTTGAGCCTGGTGAGATTTGAACTCGCAGTAATTGCAGGCAGCTGGCAGCTAACTGCTACTTTAACAGCAGTTTTTAGTCCACTGCGCCACCAAGGCTCATGCCTTTTTTGGACTCATGTCTTTAAACTGCAAGATCTCTTTGTAGAACTTAACCCCATACAACTAAGCAAAAAGTGGCAAGGTTTCTTAAACCGGTTGAACATCAGAATCTGATGTATTTTTTGGTCTCGTTGGTTAAGTCTTCTTAAACTGGAAGTGACAATCTTCTCTAGAAGGGTCAGGCCAGTTGTGGGTTTCAAAAATTTATACTACCGGTCCTGTGGGCGTGGCTTGGTGGGCGTGGCAGGGGAAAGATACTGCAAAATCTCCATTCCCTCCCCACTCCAGGGGAAAGATACTGCAAAATCCCCATTTCTTCCTGATCAGCTGGGACTTGGGAGGCAGAGAATAGATGGGGGCAGAGCCAGTCAGAATTTTTACTACCAGTTCTCCAAATTACTCAAAATTTCCGCTACCGGTTCTCCAGAACTGGTCAGAACCTGCTGAAACCCACCTCTGGATCAGGCCCAAAATTGGTCTTTCAGATGCTCCAGCAGTGCCCCCAATGCCACTCTGATTTATCTACCTTGCTGTTGGCCATTTTTCTTTCCCTTCCACTTTTTTTTCCATTATTA